GACGCTGAAAAAGGCACAAGCACCAAGAACAGCAATGATGTACCTAATTTATCAAACATTGATGCAATAACTTGAAACGAGAGGTGCAAAACAGCAGTGTAGTGATAACCAACTAAGCTATCCATTGTAGCACACACTTTTTCGATCATGGTCGGGCCAGACCTTCTGTAACTCATATTTAAGTTGACCTTTTTAATCTCATCCACTCCTTCTTCTATCAAGCTTTCATCAATACAAGCGTGTATCAAACTCTTCAATGTGTTTACAGCCGAATGTGTTGCCTCTTCATGTTCAGATGCCAATATATCTGCCACAACATTGCATACTCAAAAGAAACTCCCAAACACATTGTTTAATGTATAATCAATCCAAAAACAAAGAGTTGAAAAGAACAGGAACCAAAACTATGAGACAGACCTTTGAGGGCATTGAACACAAGGGGGAGTTTATCTACACAAAGGTTTCTATTGAGAGAATAAACTCTAATCATTCCAACATCAAGCAAGCGAACGGTGAATGTCATGGCATCCACTGATGTCTCGCTTGTGGAGACAGAAAGCGCTAGCGAGCATAATATTTCGAGCAATGTTTCAGATGGAACCACGACATCTGGCCTAAGGAAGAGAAAAAGCAAACTATCTGTTACGCGCCTTGTGACAAGGGGTTTGCGCAGTTCAAGCAGAGTTTTGAAGTACTTGAGCATAGCAGCTATGTCCCTCGTTGACATAAGAGGAAGACAGTCTTTCAAAGCGTCAAGAACGTTAAGCGACTCCTGGGCTCCCTTGAGTCCTTCATTGCTATTGGCATTTGACCCCCCAGCAAGCAAATAGAACTTTTCAAATTTTTCTCTAAGCCCTTTGCTTGCAGATGTCACCAAAGATGTATTTTGAAATTTTTCTAAAACACTGCGAAGACACAGCTGGGATTGCCTTCTCACCTGTTCAGAACCCAATTTGCACATTTTCAGAGGGCAAAAATACTCAAGAGCCTGTTTGACAATATCTTCGGAAAGCTGTCTTTTGCTTTTTGAATGTAAAAGTTTCTTTTGGATGTGTTTGGACATCCTTACGGCTTATAGAGGAGCTTCCAATCAAAGCCACAAAGTATGACTTTTCAAAAACTTTAAGAAGAGATACAAAAAGACCGAACTTCATTCTAAATACTCCTATGGTCTATTAGAAAATTTAAATATCATTTTATATTCCATTATCTCTTTCAAAAATTAGTTCCAAACACCAAATAAAAACATCTTTTAGGAAATGCACGAGCAAAAGCAACGGGAAACCGGCCCTGACAACACAATCGAGCAAGCAAAATTAGCTCGCGTATCACAATCATCAGAAGCAAAAGATAAATTCTACATCTTTTTGATGAATAAGTAATGTTGACAATCATGACAATAAGAAGAAAAAAAAATCATCATGAATTACAGAAATGAGAAATTCACCTTAGGGCGCGCATCGGTGATGAACCCTAACAAAATCCCGTACAACTGAGAAACCTCCGACCAATCGGAGGCCTCTCTGACGATCAGAAGATGCGAGATACACTTCAATCCGGAGGTCACGGCGCCGACAGTCGACAACGACGATTGGAGAACACGAACGACGAGTCCAGAGACCGAATCCCACTTCTTCCTCAGGACTGCAACGGGGATTCTGGGAAGAAGAAGCCAGAGAATTGTCAGGAGAGCCTCGACAATGTGGCTGGCCGGCACGGGCTCCGAGAGGAGGCGGTCGAGGGAGGACCATGTGGCGCCGAAGTAGGCGACGGGAGAGGAAGGCATGTTCTGGTCCTTGAGCTCCTGCGACATGGCGCCGATGACCGCGCAGAGGTGCTGGTGGTCCTCGCGCATGGAGTCGCCGAATTGGGAGAGGATCGCGGTGCAGAAGTCGCCTTCGACGGAGACGGTGTCGACGGGGAACGTGAGTCCGTTATCCAAGTCTACGCCTTCCATGGCGAGTCTGAGTAGCGGTGGTTGCGACTTGCGGGTTGCCGATAAACCCTAGAGGTTAGGGTAGCTTGGGTTTTATATTTTGGCATGTTTTCGATACGGGTTCGGGTCGTGCTGAAATGGCCGCCCCGCTGTCTAATACCTTTGTTATCCACATAAACATGGACTTATAGCGTGTTTCCGTAAGTAGCCCAATTACACATAGAAGGCATGTGCTTCACTGGCCCATTTATAAGGATGGTATATGATATATGAGAAAATAGAGAATTTACCTTTACTCTCAATAAATAGTCTTTTATTAGTATAATTATTTAAGTAAAGAGGTTATGAATATAAAATAAAGAGTAAAAATTTTGACACATATACTTTTACAAGGTATTTATTAAAATTATCTTTAAGTATTTTTCATAAGACCCATTGCAATATTCTCAAGTTTGTTTTCCCAAAGTCGTAGGAAATAGCTTTTTTTTTTTTAAATTATGGCTTATAGCTAATAGCAAGAGGTGGCACTCTTACCACCAACGGGTCCATTTATCCGTTCCAAATAGGGCGGTATGGGGACAAAAATTAGTCTGCAATTTTAAAGGTGAGGTGGGAATTAGAGTTATTAAACGTGCCGTGTCGGGCAAGCATGACACGTCCCACACTAGGCCACGGGCTTGGGTCAGGCCAAACACGGCCCTAAACAATTCAGGGTCAAAAGATGTGATTTTATTGAATTAAAATAATATGAATAAATACATATAAATGATTGTCTTGTTAAAAACCTTACTAAGTAAAATTTGTAGGGAGATCGGGACAAAACCTTAGTGAAGGAAAAAAGAGTGCAGTATTCTAGGATAAGTAAATTGCACTGCGGAAGAATTGCTTCCAAAAGATTCTGTTATGTCTAATTCAAAAAATATTCTTGAATTGTATCATCTATATAGTGTTGTTTTCGTCTTCTGACATCTTCCCAGTCTTTAACGCACATTAGCTTCTCCAAGATATCCGGATACATTCTGCTCCTCTTCTCGTCAAGAATTCGGTTGCTTGCACTAAATGCTTGCTCTAACGCTACCGTTGACACTGGAGTTGTCAGAACGTCACGTGCTATCATAGACAGTGTTGGGAAACAATCTGTCTTGCTCTTCCACCATTGTAAGATGTCCAGTTTGTCGTCATCGATTACAAAATTTGCTTCAAAATATTTGGTTAGTTCTGAAGATGCTTGTGTTGATGACGATGACCCCACTTTCTCCTTCTTCAAGAAGCTCCATGATGAACCTTTAGGCTCCGAACTGCTCATCGACGCCGAAGTTGCTTGTTCTTTTTGTCATGTTATGTATTTTGTTTCATACAAAGTAAATAATTTTTCTAACATGTTCCTAGGTTCGGCAATGGTTAGTTCCATATCAATATCTAAATTTTCTGCTGTGGTAGACATCAAAGATTCGGTCTCATCTAATCCGCACCTATGATTTAAAATGGTTGCTAACGCATATAACATAGAATAACCGGCCCAATAACTTTTAAATTTAGCTTCCATTTGATTAACTATTGGTCCAAAAAGATCAGTATCCCTATAATATGTAAATGTTTTAGAAATATTAAATAGTTTATGCAAAGCCAGATGCGCAGTAGGGTAATAAACACCATAAAGTAATTTAGTAGCGTTGTAGAATACTTCTACAAATTTAAAAAAGTACTCACCAATCTTCCAATCTGTATAAAAAATTAAATGCTCACAATGCTTACTGTTCACGTACATAGTGATGATCTGTTGATACGGAATTGCAGTCTTCAACATTAAGTAGGTGGAGTTCCATCTATGTCTCACATCAGTTGAAAACTTTCTTAGACGCATCTGGCTGTTTCTGCAATATTGTCAAAATTCTTGGAGCCGAGCTCCTGAACTAGAAATGAAGGATAAAGATTCTCTAACTTTTGTTAAATGAGAAGAAATAAATTCATTTATTCTCATTTAACAAATGTTACATAACAGTGTATTACTCAATGTTAATTTATATTGTTTATTGTTTATAAATGTTTTTTTAACATTAGTTTCTTTTTTTTTTAATTTTTATGGGATTGAAGATAAAGTTTTAACTATTAATTTTCATAATGCGCCAGCTAACACAACTGTAATTAACATGTTTAAAACTAATTTGAAACCACCTTTTGGTGGTAAAATTGTTCATCAACGGTGGAGGAAGCATATCCGCTCCCACTGCATCATGTTGCTATCTTAGTAGGAGGTTTTCAAAAATAAAACAAATAGCGGATTTTTGTGTGTGTTTTTTGTGCACACGAAAACCTTTCTAAACTCTTTAAAATGCTTAAGATTATTACTAAGCTTCATATCCCACAAGAGAGAGAAAAAAAATAAAAAAAAAACTTAATATTCAAGATGTTAGAGGCAACTTGACTGTATTTGTCATCCTTGTAGTCCAAATATGTTAATATTTTCTCCTTGCAAAATATATGCTATTAGTTTTTATACCCTCTAAAAATATGCTAATCATCTTCTCCCTTTTTTTGTTATTTTTTTAAAGTAGATAAATAATTGTTGTTGTTTTGGATTTTGAGAAGTTCTTTTTTTTTTTTTAGAGAAATTCTCATTACTAAATTAACAAATTACATAAATAGTCATAAATAACCACAGGCTACAAGGGAATTCGACCTAAATATTGAAGTACAAGAGGAACACAAGTGTTGAGACCCAATAAAGAAAGACCCGTTCGGCACAAATAAAATCGAGTGCGACCAAATCACGTTAATAAGAACCACTACAGCGATGGATAAAACTAGTCGATCGAGACCAAACTCCTAATACTGGAGACACATATAACACGACCTAAAAACAAATTTAGGTGTAAATAAACACATACACCGTCAATAATGAGAATGTGGGGAAACCACCTTTCTTTATTAGACGACATAAATTTGGTGAAAATAACGCTTTCATTAAAATTAACAAAACACTATAAAAACTACAAATAACCTCAATCACATAGGAAGAGACATCAGCGACAAGTCAACAATCATTACATGGAGGCCAAAGAAATCGGATTTGAGCAGAGCCATCACAAGAGAACTGCGCCCCCCACCGATGAAGCTAAACACAAAACATCCCGAACGATGCCCTTGCACCACATATCTGCCAAAAACCTCTCGTTCATCGCACCAACGAAAGCCCTCTAACTCATCATATCTATGTCTCCATTGCCAATGGACCGTGCATATCAACCACCGACCACACCTGCACAACCTCAGCCATCGTCTTAAGGGCAAAGAGTCCAACGACAAGTCAGTGGTGGTGTCAAACTTCGGTCCTAAAAAAAGATCCCAAACTCTAAACTTTAGCCGTAAAAAAGAGAGAGAGAGAATAACTATCTATGCTTAATAACATTAAATTTCATGTGATGGGTTTTAATAATTTTTCTTCCTTATGAGAAAATGGGTAAACACATTTTTTTATATATATATTTTTTGCTATCTTTATATTTATGCTATTTAAAATATAAGTTTGTATCACTTAAAATTATTTTTACTGATTTAATAAAGGCATGTTTTTTATTATATCACTTCGATGATATAAAATGTTAATTGGTACTATTTTAAGTGTTTTTTTTTTTTAGTTTTTTTTCCTATGAAAATTATGTTTTATGCTTTCATTTCTCCGTATGGAGCATCAAACTTATTTTGTCTTCAATAGTTAGCTACATCAAGAGGTGGGTAAGGCTTCCGGGGAATAGTTGAAAAATGCTTATAGGCACTGCTAATGTTACTATTAATAAAAGATAGATCTTATTTATGTACATCATGCTACAGGAATTTAAGGGTGTAAATTCGGATCACGTGTTGTATTTATGTCGTGTTTTGATCATTTCTTTTTAAATTTACAGTTAACACGAACACAACTTGCGACACAAATTTTTTTTAAAACCGCAACACGCTATGACCACTTTACGGGTTGACACGACATGACTTGAAAATGACCTGTAACACGAAATTGACATGTGAACCTGAAATTGACACGAGAATTAGATATTTTTATTGAGTCTTTTACACATTAAAAATAATTTAAAATTCATACCATGTTAAAATACGATAATATCCATCAAAATTAAACAAGTGATAGTATAAGATTTTAAGAATAATTAGTGTGATATCATAAATTCATAATAAAATCTAAAATGTGTACCAAAAAATATATATTTCAATTATTTTATGAGTTTTAAATTGTGTTTAAGTTGGTGGGTATAGCTCAAAATTGACAAGTGTTTTTTCGTGTCAATTTCATGTTGACCTAAATTTATTTATTTTTCTAATCATAACATGTGAAACTCGTATCATTTTTTAGTCATGTTGCAGTGTGGTGACTCATATTATCACTCCTATACGGGATCTATCTTTTAAATAGTATTTAGATCTTATAGTATTATTCGTGATCGTTAATAACAATAGGGAAGTTAAAAGGAATTTTTTTTTTTTATATTTATTTATAGTGTTTTATCCTCCCATACATATATCATATAAGGCAATGACATCAGATTTTCTTTCCTATATCTACTTTGTCGGGGATCGAGATACAAGTCAAAGTATTTGTTGAGGTTTGGTGCTTATACAGGACCTAATACAACATTAAACAGTGATTTTAATGTTTTTTTTTAGCTTATTGGACATTAATTCATGTTGAATAAGGACAAGACACATTATTTTTGTCACCATATGAAGACAATTAATACGATAAGGCCCCCGATCATTCTTGGGGAAATGTGAAAGAAACTAACCAAGGATTTCTCTCTGGTTCCAAAATTTTCCACTTTCGTCAAAACTCTTTCCACTTTTTCTCTGTTTATTGAATCTGCTGACATTTGGCATTAAATGCAGGTTTGAAATTATTAATTCTGGAGATCAATACTGTGAAATAACAGCTTCATTTTTTGAATTATAAAAAAAAAAAAAAAACAGCCTCATTTTTTGAGATATATGGGACATAAATCCGTTTACTTCGTTGATTCGAGTTTTTAATTCGAATTGAGATGTAATTTTATGTGAGAATTTTTTATTATAGTAAAAAAATTAAATGTGACTGTTTATGAGAACTTTTTACTACAGTAAAATTTGAATTAACGAAATGAACGGGACTAATTATTTATTTTGCACCTTTATTTACATTAAAAAAAAAAAAACCAGACAGATTACGTTGAGGACTAGTATGGGAGTGTTGTGAAGTGCAATTGGGAAATGCTTACTGGATCGTCAGCTGGCAGGCACGTGGAGTGGCTAAGCTATTACCAGCAGCAAGAAATGGTCACGGATCGCTTCGCGTTAAAATGTTTTTGGCATAATTTGAGCCATTTCTCATTCTTGGATTGTTGAGAGGATTATTCTCAACAGAGTTGAATTTCAGACTCATTTTCAGTTTAGTACTTGAATTTTAAATACTTTCATTTGCTTTAAGAATTTTAAATTAGCCCTATTAAGTCATTTTAATTAGAATTTCTGTTTTTTAATAGTTGAAAAAGAGACGGTACAATTACATGGTATTCCTCTTATTCTGTTTGATTTTAATAAAAATTCAAATAAAAAAAATTACGTCGGAATATTTCAAAATTTAAGACACAAAGTGATATTTTTAAAATTTGGGAGACTTTTTTGAATTGAGAATGACCCTGAAATTTATGGGTACCAACCCTCGTTCTTCATTATTGACACTAAGGTTTTGTTTAGTTCGTCATTCAGATTGTAAGATTTGGTTTGAATTGTGATGGCTTGAATCGTGGTTATTTGAATTGTGATTCGAACCGGTGTTTAGGTACACAAATAAATTATAATTTGTATTGGGAATGAAATCCAACCCGTGTTTAGATAAAGTGTTGAAAACTGTAATTAAAGTTTTATAATAAATCTAATAAAACTTCATTTTAAATGAATTAAAAAATATGCAATATGGATGGAGATTTGTTCCTCTCTTCATTGTGAAGATATTAAAAAAAAAATCACCTCTATCGGAATTGAAACGAAGAAGTTATGATATTTTTAAGCTTAAAGTTGAGGAAAGAAAAAAAATAAAATATGAATTTTTTTTCACTGTAAAAACTAATTCGGATTTTGGCCGTTTTCTGGAATTTTCTGGACAGTTTTTCTGAACTTCTTAAAAACAATTCGGATTGTAAATTTAGGGAGAGGGTCAATTCTAAAATCAAAGGTTTAAACCATTATTAATGGTTTAAATTGTCCTCATTTAATTCTATACCAAACATCAATTTAACTACAATTTAAATTGAATTTTGCTCTTCAGATTGTTGAAACAAACAACACATAATTAGTGCAGCTTCAACAGTATTTACATGCGTACATTTATGAATACCCCTGAATTTATCACTTTTGACGAATCTGTTCCTGTATTTAAAATCTTCACAATTAAATTGTCAAATTAATCATGAATTGGTTAAATTTGTATATTATATTTATCCTTACACTATTACATGAGTGCAATTTCTTGATACAAATATCCTAAAGTGAGGTGAGGATATAAAATTGAAAGTGGGCCAAACTCACCCAAAACGTTGCATGACATTATTAACATGCATTTACAGTAATAAATAGAAACGGCCACTTTTGTTTAGTAAATGTGGGGGTCGTTTTCTTTTTAATTGAATTATATACGGGTTTAACTCTCCAAAAATACCCATAAAAAGTCTCAATAAATAGTAAAGAGCTAAGAAATATATATATATATATATATATATGAATAGGATTAATAATATATATTTATATATAAAACTTCAATAGCATACCATTAGTATTGTATTAATTTGCGGCCGAAAACATATATGAGTGCCTATAGTTACATTTATACCATTATAATTTATAACCTGAGAATAGTAATAATATCATAGGTACATACAGCTTGAGAAAATAATAAAAAAAAAGAAGCTACAAATAAGAAAAAAGAAGAAAGCAGGCGCACACAGTACTAATCACCATATGGATCAGTTGGAGTAGTTTAAGTAGTAATTCGTCGGCAAAATGGCGTCGTTTAGAGAAGTCTGATTTCACGGCGTGCGGCGGGGGCGAGACGACTGGTCGAGGCGGTTGATCATGTAGAGGGCGTTGCTGGTGACTTTCGCGATGTTGGTGATCTTCCGCCGGACGTCGGCCTTGATCTTTCCGCCGCCGTCGACGCCCTGAAAGCCGTCGAGGCAGGTGTCCTCGTTCGTCAGCGCGGCGCTCACCCACGTCTCGGCGTTGCTCATCTGCCACCGGAACGTCTCCGCCCTAAGGTGCTCCAGCTCCTTCAGCGTCTTCTTCAGCTCCTCCACCGAGTCCCCGATCTGCTCCACGCAGTCGCTCAGCGCCGCCCTCTGCCTCTTCGACGACGATCCGGACGACGCCAAGTCCGCCGCCATCCGGTTAAGGTACTCCGACACCCGGCTGGCCCGGGCCAGGCTGACGTTCACGGCGGCCTTGGCTAGGTCACGGGGCGTCCGCGCCGGGCCCGAGTAGGCGGCTAAGGTTCGGAGGCAGAGAGTGGGGTAGTTGGCGTGGACGCAAGATGTACGGACGAGGTCCGAGGCCGGGGCTTGGTTGTCGTGGGATTTGTGCTTGTGCACCGCGGCGGTGTACGGCGGCGGGAAGAGTGCGAGGAGGAGGATGAAGAGGAAGAGGGGAGACATTGAAGGTTTTTTTTTTGGGAGTGAGAGTGGTGAGTGTAGTTAGGGGAGTGTTTTTTTTGGATGAAATGGATTTTATTTTATTTTGGTTTCGGCTGATCGGATAGGTGGGTAATGGTTGGGATTGGTTTTATAGGGGGGTTTTGTGCTTTGGACCCTAGGGGAGGGAAAGATTATTCAAAAATAGTCTTGAAAATTGAAATATTAACAATTGAACAAGTTTACTAGCTCACGTCAGGAACATCATAATTGATGATTATGATAAGCACTCCTCTCTCTCTCTCTCTCTCTCTTTTTTTTTTTTTTTTCAGGCCAGCAAATTATTATCTGCACCGTGTTATTTGCTAAAGGTGATTTTTACAGCCTCGTAAGTCTTAACACAGTTCAAGAAAGGTCCTTCATAATGAAAAAGTAATTTTTTTTTTCTCTCTCTCTTAAGTGAAAGGTTTTTCCCCTCTAGATCTTTTGTGTTGTGTGTCTCTATTAGGTTAACTTTAACATATTGTTTTGCTAAAGAAGGTTAATTTTTCTTAAGCAAAATGATTATAGCAAACATTATTAATTGTATTGGCAAAGCACCGCCAACACACCACAACAGTATAATTATTAATGTATCGGATCCTCTAACTATATTTCCTCTTTAGCAGGGGCCCGTCAAATATTTTTAATTTAAATCTGAACCATGCTTTTTTTTTTTTTTATATAAGAGGAAGGGAGAATGTCGTCACTTTTAAGTGGAACTCAAGGTGACTCGAAATTTCAACTTATAGTTAGAGTAGAAGGACTTACAACCAACTGAGCTACCATCACTCGTCAACCATGCCATTTTTTAAAAGCGTGAAAACCATTTTTTCCCCATTTAGCAAGAGACTGAAGCTAATATTCCTGATAATTCAAATCCGAACCACTTCCACTGCTTTCAATGTCTCCCAATTTTGGTGTCCAATAAATGATGATCAGACATATAACAACTATATGATTTGCTACATTTATTTATTCAACTCAATTAGCAAACTCGTGTCTTAAATCACAATTAATTTTAAGCTTTCATCAACATTCTAAAATCATAACATTTGGCAAACAAATAATGATACGGGACAGATATATCATAGGATATTAATAGTGCTCAAAATTACTAATAATAGAAAATGGGTCCCAGCATTATATCCGCCTTATAAGTGTAGTATGTTTATAGATATATAATATATGATTATATTAATCACCTGAAGAAGAAAGCTAGAGAAGATCTAAAAAAGATTAAAGACAAGGTTGGAAATTAATGCGCTAACCAGACCAGTCCAATAATGGTAGATAGAAGTAATTACTCATCGGTACTTAGCAGTTAGATCTGACAGATAAGAGAGCCGAGAGTTTTTCATCGGTGGAATGAATTTGATCTTCAAAATGTCTGCAAAAAGGGCAGGACCATTCCCCATTAAACCAAGGGCCCATACAAAGAAAAACTGTTATTGAGACGCTAAAAAAATATGTATATATATACGTGTGTGTATATATATATATATATGTATGTATAATATGCTTAGCCTTCCAATGAGAATAGGAGTTGATGGTATATTCTTGAAACAAAGCATGTGCAATACAGTAGAGGGGGCTCCAATTTAGAGCCAACCATAGAAATTGCGAACACATTGTAAAGAAATTAACAATACATGAGAACCATTTTTGGAATTGACTTGTGGCGACAATTCAATTCAAGGTTTGAAAAATGTTGGTGATCAATTATACAGTAGATTGTCACCCATACTACGTGTAGAAAAATTAGTGCTTATGACTATAGGAGGTATATACTATTATAATGTTCCTTTTGAACTCCGATAATTCAAGGGTCCAATCTAAAGTTTCTCACTAATTTCGTTTCAATATTGTTAGAATAACACTATGATAACACTAATATTATTATTTTTATTGTAAAAAGATACAACAAATTCATCCACCTATTACCAGCAATTGATTGGTGCAGCCATATAAGTATGTCTTCTTTCTTCTTCTCCTTCTCTAAAGACGTCCCTCGGTTCGAATCTTAAGTAGCCTCAGTTTTTCTCCCCTCCCTCACCCAATGGGTTATGCAGCATTGGACCTACGGTAGTTTGTTTGAAACCGAACTTGTCGTGCGAGTAGAATTGAGTTAGACACTTTCCGTTTTATTAGGTGGGTTTCAAAATTTTTTCTATAAATATTGGAACGAAAGGCGGGATGATCACGTTAGTTTTAGCTGTTTGTCACATCATGTCATTATAGTTCCCAAGTGTTCTCATGCCCTCTCATGTTTGTCGTGTAATAAAGCAACTAAAACATGATTATGAAAGCATAAATATATAAGTGGCTGTAAGGAGGAAATACATATCCCAAGAGCCCTAATTTGCCACTCAGATATTAGTACATCCGAAGGGGTGCTAGTTCACAAGGGCACTGGTGGGAAGGTTTGACGGCAAAGCTTCCCCACCCAAAAGTCCCAGCCTCACGATCAACAAGTTGTGTATTATTACATTATAATGGGCTCCTAAGTTTGGCTGGACAAGGACAACAAAACGTGGCCCGAGTTTGAAATGTTTGGCAGGACTACATGTGATTGTCACGAGTTCTCGTCCCCATGAGAAAGGATTAAGAGACCCCACGCCAACTTTTAAACCCTGTTATCAGTTAGCAATTTATTGACAATTAGTTGTAAAAATTCAAAAATAGGTTTCAAAAATAAATTTGGATTGCAGATCAAGATTGAGAATCGGATTTTGAATTGAAGATGCAGAGATACTGAGGAGATATGGATTTTGTGGGCAGATTTTGTGTTGCTCATTTTTAATCTCAAGTTCAGATTTTGTGTGCAGATTTTGAATTAAGATAAGATGTAGATACTCGGGTGGTTACAGAATTTGAATTCGAGATAGATTGCGGATTTGTTGTTGTAGAATTCAAATCATGATCGTGATCTCAAGTTTGTTGCTGCAGATTTTAAAGTTTAAATTCAAGTTGCTGATGATTTGAATTGAGCAGTTTTTGATAAATTAAGATAAGGTTGGAGTAGAAGATATGATCTTTGGATTTTAATTTAAAAAGGAGATGCAGATATCCTTGGATTTGAATTTAAAAAAGAGATGCATATTGTCTATTGTGGAGATCAAGTTAGTATTTGAAGTGCAAAATTCAAATCTGATTTGAAGATTTTATTTTGAAGGAGAATCAAATTTGAATTTAGATGAAGTTAATTTGGTGATTTAAATTCAAATTTTGGAGCTATCTAATCTAGTGTGGAGAGGAGATAATGTAAAGATAATGTGAGATTATTTCAGAAAGAATCATGGAGATAAAGTGAAGCACATCTAAGTTTGGATTTGAATGAGATTCTCCTGAAATCTTAGAAGCTTTATTTAAAGGCTTCATAAGGAGTACGGGTTTTTCAGAAAAGATATTGTGAGTTTTTTGTGAACATTGTGTGTTATTGAAATCGTCCTTCGGGAGAGAGATTAGAAACTTTTAGGAGGAAGTGCTCTACCAGATGAAGGGAGTTCGCAGTGCAGATTGAAGACGAGTAGTATTCGCTGGACAAGGCCACAAGTAGATTCGACACGGCGGTGACATTATCGAAGAGGGAGTCTTTGAGTGTATAAGTCTGATTGGTGTATGCAATCATTGATACTTAGTGGATTGTTCATTATCTGGGTGTGGCCCTACAGATGTAAGTGTGAGCACTAAACTGCGATAACAATCTATGGCGTTCTCTATTTTCCGTTTTATTTTTTTTTTGCTTGATCAATTAAACTTTATTGAATCCCGAAAATCTAATCAACATTGGGCGTGAAACAGATCTAACAAACCCTTTTCTCCTCAAAGAAGGATGGAGCCGCACGAGTACGGTCTCAGGTCCCTGCCCGCATTAAACTTTTGTAATTGTTTTATTTTTTATAGAAAAAAGTTTGAGAAAGAACCATCAGTCGTGGATCCTTATCACAATTGAAAATATTCGTATTGAGCTATATATAATTACTTGCGTTAAGATAAAAAAAAAAAAAAAGGCGTCACCTTAAAAAATAGTTTAGTGCTCTCGTTGTGGGACTTGAACTTGAGATCTCTTTATTGCAAACTACCGGTAATTTAATGGTCGCGAACCATGATCGGTCGTTTATTGCCTCTACTTGCAGAACATGGGACCCTTGTGGACCTTCTCATATTGCTGAGATCCAGATGGACTAGCAATAATTAGAGATCCAGTACACGCCCACTACGTTTATTTTTCTTCCTTTTTTCACAGGTTTCTCAATCTTGAAACAAAAAAGTTTCCAACCTGTAATTTTCAATTTTCATAAAGAAACTCTTTAATGCATATGCAAATTGAGTCAGATCATGTGTATGATTCATTAAGGGTGTGTTTGGTAGATAATCCAGTATTATGATTCTGGATCCTAGTTCAAAATTAGTGTTTGGTTTAGATGATTTTGAATCATGATTCAGAATCTGATGTGATGTTTTAAACTAGCTCAAATCATGATTTTAAAACCACCCCATCTTGATTCAAGGTGTATCAAATCTCTGATTCTGAATCATGATTTGAATCTACAATCATGAATCACGGTTTTACATTAGAATCATGATTAGAATCACGCTGATTTGAATTCTCGTACTAAACGAACCCTAAGTTTCCTGTCAAGTACGATCCGCTAGCTATATCCTGATTAGTCACGAAAGTTAAGATTTGGTAGCTCATGAATATGGTGCAAATTAGTATTGTACTTTCCTTGGCGAAATTAACTATTTTAGGTTTCCATTCATCAGATCATAATGATACATGAGAAATAAAAATCATGTAAATATCTTTTCTGCACACTTGCGCGGGTGTTTTTTGACCGCGCGTGCAGAGGAATATGCTGGTATATCCCCAAACATGAAATTGTATCATCGGCAAATTAAGGAATATGCCACACTTTTTTTGGGTTTAATCACTACCTTATACTAATTGCGTCTGGCGTGGCAAACTTTGCTGCTTGGGAGCATTAAAATTAGCTGCCAGTGACGCATGCCTTGTACCAATTCCTATATACAATACATATATATATATATATATATATATATATATATATTCATGGTGGGGATTAAGGATTTTGTTTGTTTGATTGCAGTGACAACCAAATAATAATTGAACGCAAAACAAACATAGTACTAGTGGGAAAAAGGGGAAAAGATCATAAAGGGCATATTATTATTTGATCAAGTTTCACTTTTAGGTGGAGTAGTTGTCACATGCATGCATATTGGGAGGATGACTTTTAGGTGGTACTATTCACGATAATGTTACGTATGTTAATCGGCCCTTATAAAAAATTAGGGTCTTTTATGTTTTCTTTTTTTAATTATTAATTACCAAACTAATTTGATTTTGAACAGTACTTGAGGAATACATTTTGTAATTGAAGATCACTCACACGATTTATATTTTAGCTTATAGGTTGCTATATGAACAAGCTCTGCACAATATTATTTAGGGTCTTAAATATGGTTGCACGTGCTCATTTACTAATTATTGACAATTCAGCCCTGGCGTCTCTTAAGCAAAATTTGATATTTTGGGGCAAAGATTAAGGGCACGTCAGATATTATTGATGTACAGATACGGCGTATATATATATATATATATATATACACACACACACACACACACGAAAATAGATATGTCGGATTTGGCGTTCTGTGTTTTAAGAAGTTATATATATATATATATATGCTCCACAAGCTGTCCTAGTGACAGGAACAGATGGATATTTCTTTTTTTTTTTCTTTTCTTTTGGATCCTCATTTCATCTCTCTCTCTCTTTTGCCAAAATATATTTATTTAATTGTTATTTCTTATTTTAGAGTTTTGCTCATGAATAGCTGAAGATATTGGTTTGTTACAAGCTATAGCAAGCTTAGCTTAGCTTTGACACATTACGACTATATGTCTTTCCTCAGATAATCAAATTTCATGGTCGTCGTGACCGTACTTGGTGTATAAATGCCCTTTTCAGTTTGTGAAACGCCAACTGTTCTAAGAGAAATGGAAGATCTACTCGTTATCATCTGTTTTTTTTTTTTTTTTTTTTTTTACACACACACATGTATAGATAATTTTATTTCTGACTAAAGAAAAGTGGGAGCTTTAATTATTTGTGTAAATTAAAACGTGAATAGGACATTGAACTGAAGAAGACGGTACTACGGCTCTAAGCATTCACGTGAAACAGAATATTATCTTCCATGATAATCACTAAAACGTAACTGAAGATTTGATCATAGATTAAGGAGATCAATATAAATTTGATCATCTCGAGACTCTTTCTCATTAGTATCAAATTCGATTTTAAAATGTGAATTGTGATGCATACATTTCTTTCAAAAGTTGCAATTGCATGGAGAACTAAACATGGAAATCCACTTTGTAAGCCGTCCTACAAGTTTAAATATGTTTCTACATCACTCTCGTTTCTTTAAAAGAAAAAAGAACCCACTCGAGAGCACACGGCATTGAACTTCAGACCTAATTGTTCTTTTACTAACTAATTATGTAGGAGTGACGAAACTATGCTATTCAAATGCCTTGTTTATTTCACCGATTTGAGTTTAGAATTCAAATTTTGCTACAGTAAAAAGCTTTCATAAATAATCACAGCTAACTTTTTTATTACAGTAAAAAGTTCTCACATAAAGTCACATCTTAACTCAAATTAAAAACTCAAATCAACAAACTAAACGGATTGAAAAATTATAATTGATAAAGGAGGCGCAATCAATAGAATTGTTGGGACTAATCACGAACTACGAGAGGCTCAATAAGACCCGGGCCCAGAGCAATTATTGAAGACAAGGGTATATTTGTTTCACAACTCACATTAAACAATTTGAGTTGTTTATGTGAAAAAAATTTATATAATAAAAAAGTTTAATTTAAATTTTTATAATAAAAAATACTTTAACAAAAGAACTTAAGTTGTGAAAAGAATAAGATCAAAGTTCATATGGATGTCAAGGCTATTAACACGAGGACAAGGTGATCACTAAGTAGAATCCGAAGGGAAAAAAAGTAGACTTACCAAAGAAATCACATGATCTATAGTTCAAATCCTATCTTCTGAGGGATATTTTTAGAGAAAAATCCCATAAAACAGGAAGGGATAAATCCCTAAAAGGATTTCTTTATAACTCCTTTATTTGTAATTTTTTGAATGTAATTATAAATAAAAGGATATAAATAGAAGATTATACTCTAGATAAACCCTAAGTCTCATTATGAGCATAGCGTGTATCACTTTTTCTCGATAGTAAAAAAGCCTAGATACATCATAGTAGATGTAGCGCTCAATTTGAAAATAAGTCACTCTAAATTTTTCGACCTTTAATTATATTCAATTTTACATTAATTATGTTCATTAATTTCGTGGTGAATTAAGAGTTTCCAAGAGTTCTTATTGTCGAATTTTCACCGTAAAAAAAATCTTAAAAACACCATTCATTACTAGAATACTACTCGTTCGAGTCCCTAGTCCCGTATGAATTTATGGGCTCACCCAAGACACTTTTTGAAACTCAAACCACATAGATGTCCCCAATAAGTATGCTCAGGCATCAAAGTGATCATAAATTCGTCTTGGTTACAGAATTATCTAGATGATTAATGCGATTGCAACAAAAATATTTTAACGAGACTAAAAATGCTTATTCAAATGTTAATTAATATTAAAACAACGGCACATATATATTGGAAAAAAGAACAACGTGATAAATTTTAGGTAATATATGTATGTATTAAGTACGTATCTTTTATAATAGGGTGTGGACTCCCGAACTTATATATTGGTTGTAATGTACCTCATTTAACTAAATGTGTTCAAATTTTTTTATTAGATTTAAGGTATTAAAGGTCAAGATATTGAAAGATTTGTGTTGCATTTAAATTGTAATGATGAATTTTTTAGCTCAACGTGTTGTTTGTTACACTAATTTAACACAATCATCATCAAAATGAGACATATTATAACAATTATACAAGTTGAGGGGACAACTTACTAAAATTGAAAGCTTGAAGAATAATTTATAAAACGACGACAAATTTAAGGAGTAAATGTGATAAAAGCCCTTTATAATATTTGGTGCATGTATGATTGCATCTAGTGATAAAGAATGTTGGATATGATACATACAAATAATTATTAATGTCGTTAAAATATGCGCTACGGACAAAACTAAAAACCTGAGCTTGAGAGGATTAGGATTCACAAGACAGGAGAGGGTGGGGAAATTTGAAAGCGATTTGTTCGCAGTGAGTTTAGCGTGTTTGAAATTGATTCAATTTTTATTTTTTAAATTTTTAAAAAAAGAAAATATGAAAATATTTCTAAAACGACGTTTGACGTAATAAAGATAAAAAATAAAAATGAAAACAATTTTTTAGTTTAATATAAAATGAGAGAAAAATGAAATTTTATTTTTTATTTTTGTTTTCTCCTCTCTTGAGCAAAGAGAGAAAGAGAGAAATTAATAAATTTTTTTATACTAAAAATAATTTCTTGATAAAATTATAAAACACATTTTTAAAAATAATTTTTATATAAGATTGAAAATATTTTTATTTTTATTTTCATATAAAAAAAATAAAATTATTTTAAAACAAATTCTAAACGTGTCATATATTTCTGCATAATATAAGAGTAGTGGTCGATAGTTTCAAGGCAACTTTGAGAGCTTGGCTTAGTTGAAGTAGAGCTTTGGCAACACGTCAAAACTTTAGTATGCAACAAGTGGCTTAAATTAATGAGTCACCAAAGATACTTGTCGGATGTAAATATTAATTGCAGGGCAATTTCAACCCAAATTTGCCTCCTATTCATTGGTAAAAAAAAGAAAAAAAAAAAAAAAAAAAAAAAAAAAAAGAAGAAGAAGGAGTGAAAATTGCCTCGTGCACTTTTCTACCAAGTCCCACACTTCATATAATCACTCTTTTTTCCCCGGCTATCAAAATCAAGTTTTTGGCATTAGAATTTTCTTCTGTTCTTTTAAACTAACTATATTTGATGAAATGAATTGTATATATGAGGACAAACTACCAAGTGGGCTGTATGTTTCAAATATTTACGTAATTGAAATTTGTTAATATTCTAGCAAATTGAGAGCCACTAAAACCAGATGGTGACAAAAATTAAAGTTTTTAGAGTCAATGTATTTATGCATGAAATCATGAGGAGTGACGTTTAAGGGTAGTTAAGTGTATTATTTAAGAAAGTGACAACCAACATCAATTCTTAAATGAGATTGAGACTCTCCCTTGTAGTAATGGTTATTCAAACATTAGAATTGGTTAACCCAAAAGATGTACCATTGCTTTCAAGTTTCAACTACAATATGATACAATAATACCATTACTATAAGCAAACTCCTCAAAGATTGCATGTAAAAGCAAATAACCCAATTCAAAGATAGACTAAAATTTAGCAAAAAAAAAAACAAAGAGAGAGAGAGAAATGAAAACCAAAACCGCAAAGCTTTTTGATCAATGCATTGGATTTGGATGTTTTTAAACTCCATACAACAAAATATGTATACAACTCTACATAATTATTTCAACAACCCAAGAGCTAAAAATTTTCAAGTAACATCCTAAATATGCTAAGAGGAGCATTTTTGTACGTCTACCACAAAACGCAGCGTTTTGGGTCGCAGTAGCAGGACCTTCCTTCCCTACTTCTACAATCACCATCCCATAACCTCACAACATTTCCGTTGAGCTCCGTCAGGTCCTGGTAACGGTACCAACCCGTCTTCCCCATTCTCGTCCTCAACACTCTCTCCCAAATCCCCCACCATTCCTCACCCCCGTCACTCTCCTCCGTCACCGTCATCTCGCCGTCAATCGCCTCCTCGTACTCTTCCGTTAACTCGCCGTCGACGTCGTCGTAATACAGAGAAAACTTCCCTCCTTTCGTCGCTCCAACAATTTCAGTTTCTTCAACGCTATTCGCCGGAGCCTTCGCTGGAATTGGAGTCGACGCCGGTTTCTCCTCCGTCGCGCACGGCGGCAAAGGTCTATTTGAATTCCGATCGTCGTGCGGAGGCGAAACTGACGGCTCCGAGCAGCGAGAAACTTCGCCGGCGGCTCTGATCCTCCAGACGCTGACGGCGGCGGTGACGACGGCGATCCACGTCCATAGATTGTTGACGATGGTGAAGAAGCCGAAGCTCACGTAGTTGAATGCGAGAGCTTCGAGAGGAGAATCTAAGACAGTCATTCTCTCTCTCTCTCTCTCTCTCTCTCTCTCTCTCTCTCTCTCTCTCTCTCTCGGAGTGTTTCCTTTCTCTCTTTTTCTCTGCGTCTGCGGAGAAAACTGTTTTTATGTTTTGGGGGTGGTGTCACGAGGTTGGCGTGGAGGATGATATAAATATATTGGGAGAGGAGAGAGAAAGAGGGAGAATGTCAGCCGTCGGATGTGACAAGTGGGGTTGCGGATCTGAATAAAGATGCCAAGAATCGAGACCAAAAGATGCTGAGTGAGAACAGTAGATCCAAAATTTATACCGAATTTTTTTTCTTCGTTTTCTATATTTTAGCAATAATGAGAATCATGATTTTGTTGGACACGTGTAAGGTCAGGAATCTCTGGAGTTCCTTTTACTTCTCCTGATGCCAACCACAGAATACGTGGCCCTCATTTTTTCTATTTAAATTTAGAATTTAAATTTTATTATAATAAAAATTTTTAAAAAATAATCGTATTTAATTTTTTTACTATAATAAAAAATTCTCATATAAAATTACATTTTAACTCAAATTAAAAATTTGAATCAACAAATTAAACGAGTCATACGATTCTTGTGTCAATAGAATAGAACCACATAGAGACGTATTTTTTCTTTTGTTTTCTTAGAAAAATGTTTTTTTCAGTGGAAAATTCCGTTTGATACATAATCTAATATAATCATAAATAACCAAAACATATAATAGTATTTGATCATAGATAAAGATAAATCTTAGAGCTCGTTTAGTTTGCTGATTTGAGTTTTTAATTTGAATTGAGATACGATTTTATATAAAAACTTTTTACTGTGATAAAAAAGTTAAATATGATTGCTTTTGAGAGTTTTTTATTATAGAAAAACTCAAATTACTAAAATAAACGGGCCCTTAACTAACACACATAAGAGTATTTGATCATAGATAAAGATTTAATCTATTAATGAAGATAAATGAAGTGCATAAACAAATACGAGTATCGAGTAAGAATCACTCGACATAATAATAATCGAGTGTGATAAAAATTTGTCTAACAAAACAACTGTAGTGGATCGATAAAACCAGTCGATCAATACCTAAAACAGTACTAGAGTAACTCACTACATAATATCATACTTAGCGAACCAACCCAACCACCACTATATGTAAAAGATCGAGACGACAACTCTCGTTATTCTACAACGAGAACATATATATTAAAATGACATAATCAACGTCACTTTTATTACATCAAAATTAAATTAAAAATAAGATAAAAATCCCATTCCACATGAATAAGATCACTAAATGCTAAACTTTTCTAATATAGAATATTGTACTAAACAGCATATCCAGAAATATCATATTGTGTATTGGTGGGTTTGGTGTCCAATTATTTAGGACAATCATTTTTAAGAAATCCAATAATTTTGTTTTTGTCATAAAGAAAACTTTTATTTTTTCCTTTTTTTTTTGTTCTCAAAGTTAAAAGCATTAGAATAATCCTTTTAATCGACATCATTAGAAGGTTTTTATCCTTTGTTTTTCTTCTAAAAACAAAAAACAAGAATGTCCAAACTTAAAAGATAAAATAAACAACCTAAATGTTGGATAAGGTGTGGACATTGGTCCAATTTAGTTCCAATTTAGTGTAAATAAAACGTGATATAAATTAAAGCATATAACCAATAATTATCATTTTAATTTTTTGCACTTTGTGATTTGGTGTAAATATCATAGTAAAGTTATTTTTATGCATGCCTAATGCACATTTGATCATTAGTTTGGGTTCAGTAGTTGGATGTCCAATTTAGTTCCAATTTAGTGTAAATAAAACGTGATATAAATTAGAGCATATAACCAATAATTAGCATTTTAATTTTTTGCACTTTGTGATTTGGTGTAAATATCATAGTAAAGTTATTTTTATGCATGCCTAATGCACATTTGATCTTTAGTTTGGGTTCAGTAGTTGGATGTTTTAGATTTTTACTCTCCAACTGAAACCGAAACTGTCAAGAACTCAAGATAAATTCAATTTGGTAGACATCTAACCGAATTGAATGTGGTTAGTTTAGATCGATATATCGGTTGATTAAATTTGCACACAATACTATATTGATTTGATATTTAAAAATGATTATAATTATTAATGTTTCGCCTATAGCAAAAAAAAAAAAAAAATTAAGGATCTAATCAGTACCAACATAACCATACTTATTTCTTAGTTATATATTATAATTGCAACTATTTGAAACTTCTCACATACTAGTGCTTACTATCGTTGGTACTTTTTTTTTCTGTTAGGACTATCATTCATGCTATATGTTGACGGTGTTTTTCTGACAACTTGTAATTACCTCTCTATAAACGCTCACGGTTGCACTAACCATTGAATCACGTAATAAGCAGTAAAATAATGTAGAAGGGACAACGATTTTATAGTGGTTCGGCAATAATTTTGTGCCTAATCCACTTGTGTATGCACTATTTTCTCAGATGTTTACAAGTTTTCTCTCTGTAATACTAATGGTGTCTAACCATTTTCTGGGTTTCGTTGGTTCTATTTATAGGCCTTTACAGTGATTACATATTCCCGGTTCCCAAGGAGAAAGCCATCTTCTGTTCTCGATCCTCGTGAGGATAGGTGAGTTTTCATGATGACTTTTCCTGGAAATGCGGCTGATCCTCTCAACCTGCCGCCTGATTTCCTGACTTATGCAGTAGCAGTCGGATCAATACTCTCGATGCAGTGGTCTCAGCACGTAGAGCCCTCGCCCAGCGCCTCTCCTCTTGCACGATCTCTCGACGTATAGGGCACGTTTGCTACGCCTTACTCTCGATGCCAACAGCCGGTCCTCCGCGGTGAGTCCTCGGCGTCGGTCGTTCGAAGGGATGGTCGATGTCTCGACCATAGTGTAACATGAGATTTATTTGGACAGTTTCAACCACTGTAATCTTTATTATTATTTGATGATTATAAATAGTGATTTAAATGAGAATTTATCTACACAATCAAATTGATTGACTATGCCCCAAATCTTGCGACATTTATGTTAAGAAATGCACCCACTCCAACGACCGTAACAATATAATAAATATAACATTTTTATGTTCATCCACATTAACACTATATGTATACATTTACCGTAAGACTGCCAAACTAAATAATTTGCCGTTTATTTAACACCATTAATCACGTGAACCGTAAGACGTCTTCACCTAATCTCTCATTAATCACGTTATCCTTTGCTTTGCATCTCAGGCAATCCTCAGGCCTCAGCAGTCATTTTTCTTTATACAACAACACAACACAACGAGCCTTAATCCCAATTTAATTAAGGTTGGTTATATAAATTTCACTTTTTCACACAATTTTATTCGAAATTAGACTTTCTTAAAGATCTAAATCTACAATATATTTCATAACTATTTCGATCCACACAAAAAAAACCCTTCTATATACTATACTTTTAACGTTACGTGATTTCAACGAATCTGCAGTCTTAAGTAGATATATTATGTTTCATTAGATCAAAGGCAATGAATTATAACACGTGGAGTAAAGAAATTAGATAGAGGGACCGTTTGAGGAAACCTGGGAAGTCATCATTTTATTTAATGCTTTCAATTCGGTTTGATAAGGCCGCTTCACTGATATAATTAATTTTTAACCGTTAATATAATCAAAATCACATTATATTAAAAAGTATATAAAACAAACAGTTTTTATTACCTATTTTTAACCGTTTTGGGTAAAGCGTGTTTATGTTTTCGTTTGGGCTTGGGCTCATGGGCCGTCTAGAATGGGTTACTGTTTTTGTTGGCGCAAATATAACTTAGCCGCTTTTGTTTTCTTCCCCAACCTTCCGGCGAGAACCGCGTACGAGCTTTCTCTGTTTGGTTGCCGAGAAAATTTACAGAAGGAAAGGAAAAACATCAAATAACACTCTCTGTGCTTCAAAAGGTGCCTTTTTCTCCCTCTTACCTATTTCAGCTCCGTTTTGACTGCACAGAAAAGAATTTGTTGCTTTTTGCATAGCCTTTAAACTAACATTCGTAATCACCGAAAAAAAAAATCTGGTTTATACTGTTTATACGTGATTATTTCGCGAAGTTAGTGCAGCTTATTTGATGGTTTACGAGCATTTTGGTTTGGGAACTGTAATTATCGCTTGATTTTTTTGCTTTAGTTTTGTAGAGTATATGGCGCCTTCGAAGGCTTCCAAGAAGCAGCAGAAGCGAGGAGTCGATTTCAAAGTAATAAACTAACGAATAAGCTCAGATTTATATACATTATTTTGTCAAGCTATATAGAGAGTTGATTCATGTATTTTGATTTATGACAGAAAATAAAGCGAAAGATTGGCAGGAAATTGCCGCCTCCTAAGAATGCTACAAATACTGAAATCAAGTCCAAAGGTATTGATAACTGGAGTCTGTATTTTCTTCTCCATTTTTTTTTTCACTATCTTGTTATTTGGGAGAATTTGATGATAGGAATTGTGTTTTCTTTTCATGATTGATAATAGTCAGAGAACTAGGAAGACGGATTTTCTTTTCTTGGTTTGTTTATTTCTGTTCGATATGAATGCGGCGTTCTGGTTTTTATGTTTTGAAGGGTAGAAATTTCGTGGTGAAATCGGAATGTTAATTCGAGTTTGATATTGGTTTATGGGCAGCAATAATTCTTCCTGAGCAGAGCGTGGCATCGGAGAAGGCTGGACTAGCAGTGAACAAGAAAGGTTTGACTCTGAAGGAACTTCTTCAGCAAACATCACATCACAATGCGAAAGTTCGTAAAGGTATTTTATTCTTTTGTTTTAAATGTTGTAGCAATTGGTATAGTTAATGGTATTTTGTGAAGCTATGCTCCTTTTGTAAGTTTAGGAAATAAGAGTGTCTTCCTGGGCAATTTATAAAAAAGGAGAGTGATTTGACCAGGAAGGTTTCAACAAACCGAAGCAACGTAGAATGCTCTTTCAAAATCTTACTTTCTGTTCTGCAGCCAAAAAAATCATAAGAGAACATTTTTTTGATACGTACTGGTGTTGGTGTGCCACTTCAGGGGCAAAATACTCCTGTTTTTCTGGCAACACTTCCTGCATTTTAATGCTATAAAACAGTTGCTAATTTTTGTTTCCATCTTCAAAAGACGCTTGCATTGCTAATCATCTTCCCTATGCATTCTATGTGGAGGAGTTACTGCAATGTTCTTATCCTTGATTTTTCCTTTTTTATTTTCTAGAGTTTTAGCTTCCACACACACATGTATATATATATATATATATATATTTTTTTTTTTTTTCATTCCTGTTTGTTTCTTTGAAGATGCATTGGTGGGTATTCGGGATTTGTTACTTAAACATCCAGCAGAGCTGACCTTGCACAAGTACGCCGTGATTGAAAAACTACGTGAACGTATTGGTGATGATGATAAAGTGGTTAGGGAGACTCTATATCAACTTTTTAAGTCAGTGATTTTCCCCGACTGTAAAGAGGTAAGTTTTTTGTTCTCCTGGTATAAGTGCCAATATATATAGATAGGAAATAAAAATTTGTTGAAATCAAAACCAGTACAATAAGAAAGAACAATGAGTCCTCCCTATCACCAAAACAAGAACAAATTGACCCTCAAAACATGAAATTCATAAATGCATGCTTCTGTATTGGTACTTGAAAAGTGTTCCTCCTATCACACATTTTTGACATTATCCGCCTTTTATTTTCTAAAATTACTGTCTTTCATCATCATTGGTTTATTTTGATTATGACATGCATTCTTGCTTCAATTGTCCAGGATAATCAAGGGGTTTTCATCTCCTTGTTGACGGCCTACATTTTTAGTGCAATGACGCATTTAGCAATTGAAGTTAGGTTGATGGCTTTTAAATTTTTTGACCTTGTTGTCCAGTACTATCCAAATTCCTTTTTTCTGTACGCTGAAAAGGTATTTCATATTCTATTTCTGCTTATTTCCTTTCAAAAATTTTGAAATTTTGTTGGAATGGACATGTTCTGCTTATCTTATTATATTTGTTGTTTTCTTGAAATATTATCTTGTTTATGTCTGAAACATTTTTAATTGGTTGGTTTGTCTGCAGATTCTTCAAAACTATGAGGATATTTTGCGGAGGAACAAGTTCTATTTACAGGAAAAGGGCAAGCTCAAGACTGCTCTTTCTGGGTTGGTGCGCTGCTTGTCGCTGTTGCCATGTGAGAGGAGAGAAGCTGACTCGTGTGAAAAAGTACCTCCTGTTTCTATTTCTTTCCTATCATTTGGTTTATACGATTTTACATTATAGGTTTTGTACCAGTTATTCCGTCATTATACTAGGCTTTTGAGGCATGTGAATTGAGTTTTACTTTTGATTTCTGGACGTCCTTGAAACTGTCAGTTGTAATTTACTCAGAACTTGCCTAGTTATGCACTTGTAGATTTGATCACTAGAAATTGTTAATATTGCGTATCAAATTTATTAATTATGAAAATCTTAAATGACTGCGTTTTTTGTTAGGAACTAATTGAATAATTCTTGTGCTGTCTTATGACAGGATCCCTTTTAGTCTCCTTACTGGCTATATAAATTTAGAATTACGCATGTTTACAATTTCTTCACTTATTAAGGACTTCATGTCATATGTTATTTTGTGATTTATGTCCTCCGCCCAAATTTTTTGTCCACTTTCCTCTTTGGGTGTCCTAAAGTATGTCCACTTTAGCACATACATGTCCGGAAATTCTGTAACTTACTATCCATTTCAATTGTCATATAAAAAGAATCTTTTCAGTTTTGTATGGTATGAATTATGACAACCTTACAGGTGGATTTATAGCTCAATTTCATATATTGATTTTTTTTCTCTAGGTTTTTTATTACTGTTTTTTGTTGCTTGAATGAAAATTTCTCATTTGATTACCTTGTAAAATTCTATCTGATGGAGATGGACTGATAATTTTTGGGATGGAGTCTTTAAAGGTTTGCTCAAATTTTTTACCTTTATTTGTGCTTCTTTCTCATTGCTTTCTTTTAATAGAAGGATGCCGGACAAAGAGTGTTGCATGCCTTTGAGCCTGATTTGCCTACCGAGTCTGATGGTATGTTAAAGCTCTTGTACCTTTCGTGGATGTTGCTACTTTAGGTTTTATTTCTATTTGAGTTAGCACTTGGCTTGTTAAAACGCCTGATTTTATGGAAGTCTTTCAGCTTCTGTATATTCCGACAGATAATGTCCTCTCTAGTAATACCCGCAGTCTATTTGATATCCTCCTCTGTTAGGGTGTACTTCATAGTTTAATTGCCTTGTATGTTTTAGTTTCCCAACTCTTTTATGTTTGTCTTTGTAGGGTATGCTGTCATCATCCCGAAAGTTAAAGAGCTTATTCCAGTTTTAGTAAATTGTTTTGAAGAATTTATTCCTGGGGTTCAGGCTGTCCCATCTCTTGATGCTCAATCTTTTGATTGTATGCTATCTTTACTACAGAGCATGGATCATTCAATCCGGTTCTTTCTTCATATTACTGGTGGGGGTAATTTAGAATCAGAGCCTTCTCCTGGAGGGCTTGAGGCGGACATATGGACTGAAACTATCTCCACTCTCTCCAAAGTCTTATTAAAGAAGTTACTAGTCCTGTTTCCTCTTAATTCCATCCACCAGGTTTCAGAGAAGGTAAATATTGATTTTTTAACACTATCACTCTCTCTCCCGAGACACCTTTTGGTTTGTGCGTGTTAACTCTTTTCTCTGATGCCTCTTTTTTTTTCAGCCATGCAGGGTTTTGGATGTTCTTTATTGACTACTCTTGCAATTAGATAAAAACTAATTGTTTTTCCTTTCTTTGATTGGCAGAGTGATGAAAGATATTTTACCTTGAACACTGCAATTGCAGAAATATTTTTTCACTTGAGCGAATGGACCCTGCCTCCGGCTGTTTCATTGGAAACATTTTTAGAATTTATTGAAAGTGCGCTGCTTGGAAAGGTCTATATTTTGTACCACTGTATCCTGCACTTAGTTTCAATGAACAAGCTTGTTTCTCATTGATTACTGTTGAGCTGTATGCTGTGGAAATTGGATGAAAAAATAGATAGGATTTTATTTTAAGTGAAACCTATTCTTTATTTTAACTAGAAAAATTCTTGCACTTGAATATTAATGTTACTATTTCTTTTGGGTGAAAGGTCGAGAGACGATCCTACTACTTTTTGGGTTTTATCGATCTGATTGTGGTATTTGGCAGATCTATGGTGGCAATTCTGGTAAAGCAGTGAAGGAGAAACATTTACTTACACTTCTTCCTTTTATTCCAAAACTTGTTTCACTAGCAGCAGGTGAATGGAAGCCTCGGCTTCTTCAGGTTTGAAATGTAGCTTGAGAATTTTTTCTTTTTTTTTAAATCCAAAAAATCTTGTTTATACATCTCTTTTAATAAAAATGTCTATTTTCTTCAATTTGATGTTGAGCTCGAGGTACATGTCAAAGCTAATATGGTAGCATCATCATGTTTCATGATTTCAGGCATTCACTAAGGCATTCACTAAGGCATTCATGGATTGCAATTTAGAGTCGGCGCTTAAATTAGCTTGCCTTTCAACAATTGAGGAAATGCTAATTCCTGTGAGCATTACATTGCCTTCTACATGCAGTCTCTCTGTAGGAATAATCAGTTAGGTTTTGATGCCAAAAATGACATTTTTCTCTTATCAACAAAATTTTCATGCAAATCATAGAGGGAAGACATGATGTTCTCAGAGACAAGAGTTCCAGAAATTCTGGACCATCAGATTGCTTGGATAAGAGAGCTTCCCGTGTTATTGATGCAGCTAGGTGATAAACACCAGTCTTCTTCTCAGGTAATTTTTGTTATCTTATTAACAGTTCTTGGCTGCGCAATGAGGCAAAAAGATGATGAATTTGGGCAGTGTAAATGAGTTAAATAGAGATCTTTAGGGTATCACATGTCTGAGTCTTGGCCTTTTTCTGCTTTACATTTCACTTTCCCCTGAAAAGTTGCATTTATTTTTTTGCAGGCTGTGTTGCGCCTTCAGCTAAAAGTTGGACAATGTGCTTTATTGAACCGTTCCCTTGCATGGGAATATGATAACATGCAATATTCGCTGAAAGATTTTTTCAGCACATGTCTAGATGATGGTAACCGCTACTTTGTTTGAAATGTTAACATTTTTATTTTTTATTTTTTCAAAGTTAATGGAATCAGAAAAAGAGGTGGGCGAAGAAACTACTAGGTTTCTTATCATACCTTTCTTTCTCTTGCAGGAAATATATGCTATGGCCCTTTTGTAAAGCTTGCCAGTGATTGTCAAGAACTTTCTCTCTGTTGCATTTATTACTTCTCTTTTCTGGATTCGCCATTGTTGAAGTCAATATCTTCTTGTTGCCTGTGTAAGTAAAGTACTATATGTTCTTTATGAATGTTGGCAAATTTAATTTTTCATGCCAGTTGTCATTTATTGTCTTCAACTTGCTTGATGCTTCTTGTTAACTCTCTGTTTGAGCTACCTTGTGACTGAGTGCGAGTATCTGTTTGTGTCTAAGAGCTTGTTTGGTAAGAGTGAAAGTGGAAGGAGAGAGAGGTGGGATTAATGGAAGGATTTTGGATCTAGGGAAAGAGAAGAGGAGGAAATGGATTGGGTGAGGGATTTCAAATCCTTCAAAGAATCTCAATTTTGATCTCTCCATACTCTCTCCCATTATAGATATTAGGGAGAGAATCTAACTATACACAATTAGAGAAAGGTCCTCTCCATTTTCCACACCTAGATTATATACCTTGTGTGGAAATAGTAATTTGACATGGACTTTAATGTTATATATCAGCAAAATAAGGTGTTCTGGGATTTTACTTATAAAATAGAGCATGGTACCAAGGGTGTTCTTTTTCTCTGCTTTCCCATATGTTATGAAATGTTCCTCAAGTGGACTTAATAGAAAGTTTTTGTCGCTCCCCACCTGTTACCAACTTTCTCACATGATGTTGCAGGTCCTGATCTGGAACCACCAACATTATTGCGAATCCTAGAGGTTCTAAATTCAGTGTACAAAGCTGGGCGAATTCAGATTGCAGACCATATTAGTTTCTTCACCACTTTGCTCTCACATTTTAGAGTTTTTCCTGGTATCTCTTATCAGAACTATTATGTGGCCGATACATGTTTGTTTCTTTTTTTGTTGCCTGTCAAATTTTTGTGTTTCCATGTATAAGTTCAATTGTCTATAGTGAGTGGCTTGTCTGTAATTAACAGAAGATTGGAAAATTCATTTACCATATTCATGGGTATTTAATTTATGCATGACATACTGTTTGTTAAATACTCACTAATATTAAGATAATCACTACAAAGTACAAACTGCTTGTTTCTCATACCGCATTATGTCCAGTAGTTGAGACAATTTTACATCTGTTATTTAATTGATTTATATAAACTAAAGGGCCTATTTGCAGATAATATTTTTCCTGTTACGGAGAATGATGCCAAGATTTCAAATCGCGGGACGTTTAAGTCAGTTATTAGCATTGTTTGCTCATACATATCACAGATGGGTGATAATTCTCTTGTTTTCGAGATACTAGAGAATGTAGTACTTGAGCAGATAGTAAGTTTCATATGATATCTTATGTTATTTTCCTTGGCTTTCTTAATTCAGCTAACAAAGTTTATTTTCCAATTTAACAAATCTTTATTCATACCACTTTTTACTGCACTTTTAACTTCTCCGTAACTGTTGATTAGTTCTCCAGAATTTCCTTGGAACGCGAAGTTCCTGACAATATTGTTCATTTATATCTCAGACATTAAGGCCTCCTTTAGACAATGTCTGTGCTCTTCTCCGATTGCTAGCCACACTGGACTCAAAACCCACAAGACTTAACGAACAGAGTATAACATCTTTAGGGAATTTGCTCTCTGGATTTCTGATTGATATTGCACTTGTAAGTACCTCTTCTGCTTAAGCAAAGTTTGTTCGTTTGTTTTTTTCTTTCTTAGTGCACAATTTTCTTCTGACATTCTAGATCTAGGCCTCAGAAAAATTTAATTTCGAACAGAGCTGTGTGAAAAAGTGAAATCTATATAGCCGACCCCAATTAAGTTGGGATTAAGGCTTGTTGTTGTTGTTGTAGTACACAATTTTCTTCTCTTAATATGCTCTGTTTTGATTGTATTTGTACTTCATCCTGTAGTGTGTGTGGAGTAGGCATCTCATTTTCAAAGTGTAGATTAGATTTGTTTGGAACTCTGCTAGTAATATGCTATGCTACACTTAAACTCAGGGCTTGTGATGTGACGCTGTACTGCATTTATTGTAAATTACGTTCCTTTCCGAAGTAGTGAATGACTTTGGTTTTGTTGCATTTATTGGTCCCTGCCATAGTTTTCAATGACTTTCTAACATTCTGCTTTTTAAATGTAGTGTATTCCCGAAGATGAGAATTCAATTTGTTCAAGAACATGGCATTACTATCTCATTCCTTGCTTCACGCTGTTCGATAAAAGTCACAGGCTATTGCAGCTCGTCCTCCGAGCCTTGGGGTCGTTGATAACTCGAATTAGTTCTTTGTCTCCTCATGATCAGAATCAATATGCGAAAGACTGTTCAAGTACAATTGATGCTGCTGTCTCTGTTCTACTTTCAATGCACAAGGACGTAAAAATTCGGCGGATTATTTCTTCATTCAAGGAAGATATTCACGATATTTTTCAGAAAATAGTTTGTTTACAGGTATGATTTTGCACTTTCAAGCTTAGCTTAACCTCTTCAATTGGTTTCAGCTTTGAACTGTGAAGTCATCTCGGATGATATACCAGAAGCAAATCTGTTAACTTCATTTCTTCTACTTTGTTAATGCAGTCCTCGGAAGAAATCAGACTGACCCTCGAGGAAAGGCATAAAGTGCAATGCTCAGTTGATAAACTAACGGTTGTAACAAGTTCATTGGATAAGATGCTGCTGACGACCTGAGAGAACGTGCATTGCAAGTAGCTTGTATTTTTATTGTGGTGTCGCTTAACTAGAGCCGAGGATGGTAGTAGTTGGGGACGAGCATACGTTGTTGGTTTTTTTTTTTTTTTTTTTTTTTTCGGACATTGGTTGCCATAAGTTTGGAGGACTTCGCATGTATTTGCTGATTTAGTTTATGTGGCCACCATTTTGGAGAGTTATCATTGCGTGGCAAGGCATGTCTCCGTATGTATCGGCTTCACGTCACGAGAGACCAAAGGAAAAGAGTCGTGAAATGTCTAGCTTGATTTAGTGTTTTGGGAGATGGCGTGGCTAATTTAAGTCTCTTGTTCTTGATGAGTTTTTGTATAGCTCGCTACTTATTTATTTATTTGTTTGTTCTTTGGCGGGGAACACATAATTACTTAGATAATTTTGTTGCATAAACAATTTTGGTTGAGCAGCTTTGTAAAATGATCACTTAATATTAAGATTGAGTCACATTTTGGAACGTTTTTCTCATAATGATTTGAAGAAAATGAACTCTCTCAAAAGGAGCTCGTTTTGAAGGTATACTCAAATCATGATTCTTCATTTTGATGTTTGAATCTCAAATTTTTTTGTAAGATAAATGTTGTAGCAAAATTAAGGGTAAGTTTGACAAATACCCTTTAAAAGTGTGTGAGTTAAGATTTTTATCCTTTTTTCTCAATTTATAACATTTTGGTCAAATAATTACACTAATAAAAGGAGGTAAAGGTTTAGATTGATGCACTCTCAAATGTAAATTTTTTATTTTTTTTAGAATTAATGATTTAAGTATATAAAATAAACAGACCAAAAATGATTATCGAAATCAAGCTTATAAACATGACGACTTTAACATTGTTGAAACACATATTAATGTACTAAAAGGATAATATTAAGGAAACATTGTTGAAACACATATTAATGTACTAAAAGGATAATATTAAGGAATTTTCTTATCGTGAACAACAGGAATTTCAAAATTCTGTTTCCTAGCGACTACTCATGTGAACCAATCAAAATGGATTTCAGAGATTTTTCTTGATTGGCCACTTTCCTATGAATAGAGAAGCTAAGAATTATATTTTATTCTTTGTACTCACACAAAAATATATGATATTCTTTGCTATCTGTTGATTTCAGCATCGCAGTGTCTTTGGAAGGTTTCCTTCCGGTATCCCACATACCTCAAAACAAACAGCAGAGAATGATAAAGATTAAAGATTGGATAATTTTGACAAATATCTTTTAAAAATGCATGAATCATGATTTTTACTATTTATTCTTGATTCATAATCTTTTTAATCAAATAATTACTTTAACAAAAAGATATTTATTAAGAATAAAAGATAAAAATCTAGTATTTTAATGGTAAATTCTCAAATTTTTCCTAGAAGATGTGAAGAATCATCAGTCACACAGGGAGACGTCACCAAAATGGCGGGAAAGTATTTCAAAACACAGGCCCAATCCACAAGCCCAATGGAGATAGGGCATGGAAACCCGTGAGTAGTCGTGACATACATGAAGGCGTGAAGGCTATTAAAAAGTAAAAATACAAATTTGCAAAAATCATTTTGGCGCCTAATGAAAATGATAACAAATTCAGAAAAGTCAGAATCAGAAACGGAAGAAAGTCTCTCTCTCTCCAAAATTTGCCAAGAAAAAGAAACTCTCTCTCTATCAGTACGGAAGAAATTTCTGTTTCGATGCACCAGAAAATCGTCTCGTAGATTACTGATTCAATACTCCGGTTTCATTATAAATCTCATTTTGAAGCTTTTGAGTTATGGCATTGGAGGAAGAATACTAGAGCAGCAAAATGCAGTCCAAAATCAGCACATTCTTCAAATCCTCCTCTTCTTTTGCCGCCATCGAATGGCCGGAGCCGTCGCCGATTACCGGAGAAGAAGACGAACTGGACGTTTGGGAGAAGAAACAACATCAGTTTTCGAACACGTACAGTCGCAGAAGTCGAAACCCTAGCAGGTAATTTCTTATGCAAGGACTTTTGAGAATTTCAGGGTTCTTTTTTTTAAATAATATTTATGCTTATTGTGTTTCTAATTATATCCTATCATTTGGTAAAAGCGTTGAAAAAGATGAAACGGAAAATAGCCAATTGGCGAAGAAAACTGTTTTGGATGATCACTTTTCGAAGCCGGAATCTTCGACTTTGGGAAGACTAGTGGTGAAGAACAAGAAAAGGAGTGACGCTCAATTCCATTTGGAATTAGGCCAGTCTGATTTTCTTCTCCACACTTGTACCAAATGTGGGGTTAAGTATACTCCCGGGGCTAAAGAAGATGAGAAGGTTCACAAGGCTTTTCATAAGGATTTTACCCATTGAATTCAATTTAAGGTACGAGTAATGGAGTTTTTCTTGTGAAATGTACTTGTGTTGATTTGGTTCTTGATTTGTTCAAGTTTGAACTCAACTTTTGCAGGTTGGTCTAACGAGAGGGTTGTTCATATGCCCACCATGGAAAGCGGTCGGATTGTTATGGTGTTGGATAGTGACTCCCTTGTTCACAAATACAAGGAAAGTGAATTTTACTTACCAAACAAAAAGGAAAATATTAGATTATTTCTCGAGTTGTTAAAAAATAATTATTTATCATTATTGGTGATGCAATCACTACACACATGATATTCTATTAAAATTTCTATTAAAATTGTTACATGATAGTGTGGGATCCAATGTTTGCACTTTTTAGCATGTGCGAGTTTTACTTTATCACATATGTGGTGATAGATTACCTACGGTGAATTCTTGATGAATGGCAATGATCTAGTTTGAATGAGACAATATTGCTTGCAGGTTGGGGAAGTTGTGAAGATGATGGAGGTTGAGCTTGGAAGTGGATGGATTTTCCATAAGCTGTGCAAGGTGATATAGGCTCTACTTTTTATTTGATTAATTTTGAATCTTTTATGTCAATGTATTGTGGATTATTTTCTCCATGTATTTTAATTTACAGGTAAGCTAATTCTGTTTTACTGTCTGATATGTTCATTACTTATTCATGAATAAATGTGAATATATCTTGAAGATAAGAAATGCTGATGAAATAGCTCGGTGAAATTCACGATTATGTGCTTGACTTCTCCCTGGATACTCTTTTTTTTTTTTCCTTCTTTTAAAGAATTCTTTGGTGATTTGTTTGCCGAATTTAAACTCATGTCACGGTACTTCGAAGTATTGAATGAATCGAACAATTCAGTGAGCTCCAATTGCTTCTATGAAATACTAGCTTCATTTTTTTACATTGTTTCTCGGCATCACTTGGAACTTGCAGGTGTTTCTGTTCACTTTATCCCAAAGAGTTGCTGGCTGCCTAGTTGCTGAACCAATAGAGAAGGCGTTTAAAGTTCTCTCGATTTCAACAGAGAAAAGCACTGATGCAACTAACACAAAAGAAGTAACGGTTAGACCAACAACTCTCCAATTTGGGGATTTTAGTTTTCAGAGGAAGGTTGTGGAAAAAGCTCCTTCTGATATCAATACTAAACATTCAGATAAAAAGATCTCAGGGGCACAATTCTTTGTGAGAAGGAAGCAGTGCCTGCAGTCTGTGGTATTAGAGCCATTTGGGTGTCTCCTGCAAATAGAAGAAAACACATAGCAACCTATTTACTAGATGCAGTGAGGTAACCCCATCATCTTTTTAATTCTCTTTTTTGTTAGCGAACCGGAAAGTGGCTGGACTAAGGTACATAATACTCTAGGGAACGATTTTATACCGTGTTTTTTAAGTCTACTAAAAAAGTAATCCTTTTATTTTAGATGTTTTTGAGACTATACCTTTAAATTTGTAATCCATATCATATTTGTACCTTTTCTAGGTCAAAGAAGAATTTATTCTTTGTAGCTTATATTAAAACTTATAATGAAACACTGATTGACAAATTACCCTTTGCAACTTAGCTTGAAAATGTTATCTTCGTAACTTTTTCTTTGTTTCTTTGAGTATTACACATGAATCAGTCTTTGTTACAAGATCATCTATCATGCAAATCTTAAATTTGTCAATTTCTAAGGTTGATCAACTATTAGTTCTATGAAAGTACAAAATTGAAATAAATTTGAAATTCAAAAGTGTACTCTTGAGAACATTTTTTTTTTTTTAAAAAGAAAACTCAAAATGCAAAGTATCCTGTGATGTGTCAAATGTTACTAATTTTGCATATCTCAATCGCTTTTTTGTTTGAATTCTCTGTTTCTTTGTCTCCTTCCATCACAGGAAAAGCTTCTGCTTGAGATTTGTCCTTGAGCGCCCTCAATTGGCATTTTCTCAACCCACTTTGGCTGCAAAGGCATTGGCATCAAATTACATTAGCGCTGGATCTTTCTTGGTTTTACAAGTCCAACAATTTAAGCTCAATTGATTCGTATTAAGCTGGAGAACGTAATTCACTTACCTTACTGTATATATTTATTATTACTTTTTTTTTCCTCTTTTGAATATATTTAATGGAAACCACTCTACTAATCATATTTGCTTCTCTTTCTGCCCTATATACATATATTTGTCATGATAAGTGGATAATTTTTTTTTTTTGGTAGAGTACCAAACAAAAAAGCCTTTCAAGTATTGCATTTTCTTGGGATTTTTTTCGTTAGTTTTGATTATGATATAATCTTACAGTCAAAGAAAGGCAGCAGTATAATTCAAATTATTCAAATTATACAGTTAACCTTAAACCAAATTCTTATGGGAAAAATTATCCTATCAGACAATGCAAATAACCCTATCAAGATAAAAAAACATTTAAAAAAAATAATGGTATCGCGTCTAACACTTACATACTCACGTTATTTTCTTTGTGCTCCTGAAACCTAAATTATATCATTTCTTAGAAGATAGTTAATTTTTCAGTTACTAATAATAATTGATTATTAGCTACCATTTCCAATTCAAACAAAAGAATTGTGCAAAAGAGGGTTCAACAAGTGTTTTCACAGATAGCGCTTTTGAATATAAGATGAGGAAAACAGTACTAATAAATCCAACACTTTTAGTCACGTTTATTTTTTTAATCAAAAGGGCTAGTCTTGATGCAGAATAAAAGAAATGAAAAAAAATATTATTTATACTTATTTGATGGGTCCAAATGAATGGTTAAGTCACGTGGTGTGCTATGTATGTGCCTAAATATAACGTTTTTTTTTTCTTTTTGATAAATTTGCCTTAATAGCTTTAAATTTTAACCGGTAAATAGAAATGTCCTTTTTTTTTTTGAGGTAATGTACATGTCCATTTTGGAACCCAATGAGTTCTAAAAACTAAAATCCCTTTTTTCTTTAAAAAAATGCATAAATGTAAAAAAAACAAAAAGCCTTAATTCAAGACATTTCTGGAATTGAAATGGGAAACAACTTAAATGGCATATTCACAAATTTGTCAATAAATAATGCAATTTCAACTTTA